GCATCATGACTAATTCTGGTGTGTTCTACCAATTCATTTAGCTTTATCATACGTTATCGTGCTGTGTTATAATATCTGTCCCCAAAATTATTAATCATTAAAGGTGGCGTTAAAAAGCTTCTGGTTAAAGCGTAAAAGAATCATTTTCTTCTATTCGATTCACCTACTAGAAGTCTATCGGATCGTTGGAACCATTATTGACCCCCCTTAATCTCCCCATTAGACCATGCTTACCATTTAGTTTTTCTAATCAGTTCTCTAACTTAAAGTTTGAATTCATATTTTTGGCTTTGGAGTTTCTATCATTGTAAAACTCCAAGGTCAATTATTCCTTTTTGTAACCCTCAGTTAAGATTAGTGATTGGGAGCTTTGACTTTCAATGTGATAGTTGATCATTTTGTCAAACATATTGCGTTTGTTTAATGGAGAAATTGATTTCCTATCTATGGCCACAGAAGATGGAAGGACCAACTAATAAATTGCACATCTTTAACGTTTTTAAATAACTTTATATATTTTCATATCATTTATTACATTTTTTCTGCAAAAATAAATTGATGGAGTGCTAAACTCATCATCAAAATTAATCACAAACAAACTTAGGTGGCCAAAACTATAAAGAAAAGAAAAAGTGAGGACATAAAAGCAGAGCCGCCTCCTCTCTCCACCCCCCTTCTTTTTTCTTCCTTTTTTTAACTCGTTCAAATCTCTCTCCCTCCATTACCACCACTCCACTTCTCTTATACGGTGCCTTGCTTCCTCTTCCTCGCCCCATATCCTCCCCTCCCCTCCCCTCCCCTCGCCGGCGATGGCGTCATCATCGTTAAAACTAGAGTGGGGTTTCCCCGAACACTACATGGAAAAACGCCAGCTTTTCCTTCGCAGCTATCAGTTCTCTCGAAAGCCGCCCGGGGGGGCGGCAGAGCGGCTCCGGAGCTCCACCGTGCGAGTCGGCCGACTCATCTGCTTCCGCCTCCGTGCTGCCCGCCGCCTTCCTCGTCTCCTTTGGGCACGGCTGCGCTCCGCCTTATGGGTCCGCCGCGGCCGCCGCCACCGGCGTTTCTCTCTTATTCCGCGGAGCGCCGCCGCGGGATTCTGTTCATGGTAGGTGGAAGCTTAAGGATATAGGAGAGCACTGCTGCTGCTTGCTTACAATTATCTCTGTTTTTCAGTGGTTTGGTTGAGAGCTTTGTATAATTTGAGAAAGTTAGATCTTTTATTTCTTCTTTTTTCTTAATATTATGAATATGAGTTCTTAATCTAAAGATGGAGCGTTCTTAATCTAGGAGTTCATGACTATTTTAATTTTAGTTTTAGTGGAGTCTCTGATTAAACTTAGAATTAAGCCCGTTTGGGACA